ATCTAGGCCAACGTCATGAAGGCTCGTAAATGAGAATAGCCAATCGATAAGATAAGCGCGATACGATAAGACATCAGATAGTCCAGCGATATGATACCTCCGACAACGTCACTCCGCTTCCCTTTCCTGCCCACTGCATCTCCCTCTTTCAACTTCTCCCAATTGCCTCCTGGAAACCAAGAAAGAAAGAAAACCATATCATTTCTCGCTTCTGCAGTGCTTGTTGGCATCAACAAAAAAACAACTATGTCTTTCGACCTACCTTCAACCGTTCACATCTCCACGCATCCGTGTCTCCAGGCCAAGCTCTCCCAACTCCGCGCCAGCACCGCAAACTCTAGAGAAACGAAAGCTTTGGTCCATGAGATTGCACTCATCATAGGCTGCGAAGCTACAGCTGCTGGGCTCACCATCAAGACCGGAGAGACTGTAAGCTAAGATAGGACAAGATGTGAAGATGCAGAGGTTAACTGCCCCGCCTTCCGCTTTACTGACCCAGAAACAGGCCCAGACCCACCTGGGATATGAATACACCACCACCAATGTATCGCCGAGTACTATTTCCATAGTTCCGATTCTGAGATCTGGGCTAGGCATGCTGGATGGTCAGTAAACTCTCGTCCCTCTATTCCTATTCTTCGACTTCCGAAATTCCATGATTTCAATATCCCAAATCACAACCAAGCAACCGGCTGACAACACTTTCTTTCCTCCCAGCAATCCAAACCATCCTCCCCCATCCAGCAGCAGTCCACCACCTCGGTCTCTTCCGAGAACCTACCACGCTTGAGCCCGTAGAATACTACAACAACCTCCCCTACCACCGTCCCGCCGCCAACACGCCCTCCGACTCCCCCAATTCTCAAGCCTCCGAGCTTGCCATCCTCCTCGACCCAGTCATCGCCACCGGTGGCACTTCTGCCGCAGCCATCCAGACACTAAAAGAATGGGGCGTCAAGAGAATTATTGTGGTTGCCGTCCTCGGAGCCGTGGAGGGTCTCAAGCGAGCGGCGAGTGAGTGGCCCGAGGGTACAGAAATTTGGGTCGCAGGTGTTGATGGCGAGGTCACGGAGAAGGGGATGATCAAGCCTGGATTGGGGGATGTGGGTGATCGGCTGTTTTTGACGATTGGGAAGTGAACAGGGGGTGGAGTACGATGGATGTGAGACGCAGCGTTGGTTTGGCCGGTGGTGTTCGGGTGCACTTGCTGGGCGGCGTGTTCGGATAGATCATGGGTTTGCCAGACAGATCTTAGGCATGCTTCTTTTGAAGAATGCGAAAAGATAGCGAGCTTGAAGTTATCAGAATGTCATGCAACTTCACGTTCAAAGCAGAAGGCTTTGTATGCCATTGGTTTGTTCGAAATGTGAACTCACTAAGCCTGTTCCTTCGTAAGCCAGTCTCGGGACTCAAGCTAACAAGCGTCAATCACATAAGGTACATACTACTAATAACTCCTTATCTCCAATTACTTCTTCTATCCTATCATCGAAAGCAAGTTCAAGCCATAATACCTCAGCTATCGTACTCCTCGTACGTAAACATCAACAATCGCTATAGATACCAGAGCTACCAGACAGCAGCAAATCTAGGCAGAGACGAGCGAATATCCATCCCTCTCTTTCTTACCCTGTTGACTACCTATCGGGACTAGATAGGTTAGGCGAGGGGACGGAGTACGGAGTATGTATGGCACGGGTTTAGGTATGCGCTTACGGAATACGGGATACGGGACGGATAGGATAGCGATTTAGCACCATCGTCGGAACGGAATCGAAGATTGAGAAGTGAAGGCTGAGGCTAAGGGTGAGTGAGTGATTCGAGTCGATAATTCCAGAGATTTCTTAAGAGGTGAAGAGACGAGAAGGAGGAGAAAGGAGAAGAGGAAGCTGCTGCTGCGCAACAGTATGTACCATAGTGGCGGCTACACAAGAACTGAAGAGGGAAGTTCCGATTTTTTTATTTAAAAAAAAAATGTAAGAAGCTGCTTGCTACCTGCTAACCAATACTTCTCCTACAGAGCCGGCAAATTCTCCCTACAATTCGGGCACTGTAGCCGGAACCTCATCCAGCCTTCCAAGCAAGCAGTGTGGAATATGTGCCTACAAGGCGTAACCATGTACTGCCTTCGAGCCAACATCCCCCCAACGCCACCAGCAGCCCCAGAGCCAGTGACATCCTCGCCAGCAGCCACGACCGGCACTTCCAGTATTTGCATACAGATGGCACAATCAACAATTCTCACAGTGTCATCTTGCTTTTTCCTGCTTTCCATGTCTCCACTCTCGCCAGTCGCTACTCGTTCAAGAGACGGCGAACCTGGAATCTGCACAAGCCCAATGGGTAGCCCACCAGATTCGACATTGTCTTCGCTTAAAATGGGATGGTAGTCCCATCCGGGCTCATACCAGCCATGCGGTAGGCCCCATCTGGGACCTAGCACTTCCTGCCCAACTAGGACCCAGATCTGGATCCAAACCCAGCCTACCAGTACACAAAATGCTTTCCAGTCTGTTTCAGCAAACATAATGTTGTCCTCCCTCAGGTAGAAATAGGCGAAAGGTAGCAAGCGTAGGACTGATTGGCCGATGATAAACTTCCACAGCAGTGCTTTACGGCAGCTTCGGACGGCGTTCCGCCGGATCTGGGGCACCCAGAAAGATAGATACGTGAACGAGAGCAAATTTATGAAAGCAGTACGAATGGGAACAGACCAGGAGACGGATGACACAGTGAGGAAGAGGAGGAATGTCGAGGTCAGCACGAACTTCATGTAGACAACGCCAAAGCTGGAAGTGGTCCTTGGTGGAGTCTGAGTAGTTGCTGGACTATTCGCTGTTGGGAGAAGGGATGCCGAGGCGGCCGCGCTCAGATTCTCCTCTATTTCAGCATCGATGTCTTGATCTGATGGAATGATGATAGGTGCCTCTATACGAGTAGGAGTTGGTGTGACTGCAGGCGTTACAAGCGGCACATCTGGACCGGCAGCGGTAATGATAGGATTCGGTAGGGGGGCAGAACCCAGGGCTGTAGCTGTTCTTGTAGGAGCGTTTGCTGCTTCGGCTGCTTGTTGAGCTCGCAGCCGTTCCCTTCTTTCGGGCTCCTGGACTGTGTAGACCGCAGACACGAAGCGTATCCCTATTCCCAGTGACATTAAGGCTACAAACGCTGTCAAAAGTGCGGCGGGGAAAATATTTGGTGCGGTGACAGTCAAAAGCGACAAGCTAGAAAATAACATAGCATCCGCCATCAGCATCATTGCAATCGTGAAGAGACTAACCCGACCAACGGTAGATGGAGTGGATGCTTCCTTCGACTGCATCTTTAAGAGCAGAATCTGTCCAAACATTGTAGCAGTCAAAGCATGGAGGCCCTGCTTAACATCAAACAGATATATCTCCTGCTTCTTGCCGTTGAGGTGGGTCCCGTCGACAGCTGCAAATTTCGGAGGTCCTTTCGACTCGAGGATGAAGCCACAATCCGGAGAGAATATCACTGTTGACATCTTGAGTCCCGGAGCGGGCGGAATAGGGGCGCCATTCGGGAATCGAAGTTCTTCTTCGATTCGATCAACAATAGTTGATTGGTCAAAGTAGGGTCCACCTGCTCCCTGGTACACGTTCATGGGGTAGAGTTGAATATATACTACATACTCGCAGTGCGGAGTTGGCATCGTAGAGTCACCGGCGCTATCTGGGCTCGAGGTCCATGGATTGCCCAGGTCGTTCCAGGATGTCTTCTCGAGGAGACTTCCAACTTTTGCTCCCAGGGTCTTGTTGAATAGTCTCTGGCTCGCGAGAAATTGATTGGAATCCAGAGTCAGATGCGGTAGCCCAAAAACACCGGCGAATTTCTCACTGGTAGTTGTCAAAAGCATAACTCCTTGTTTTGGCCAGTGGGCTCCATGGACCTTCATGTCCCACCCATCACCGCTACTACTCTCGTCCTGGATTGTTACAGTCGCCGCTACCTCTCTCACAATGTTCGCAGGTTTGACAGGCAGCGAAAGGTCATCTGGCGTATCCTCCGTGACGTCCATATCTTCCCCTCTTTCCTCTAGTCGCATCATCAGCTTGCCCTCAGTGCCTGTGATATTCCTGAGCCAGTATTCCTCGTCCCGAAAAGCCCAGTTAGTGACGGGCGATATTTCTGTCAAGTTCATAACTCTCTCCCGCGGCTGCCCATTGAGATCTGCCGTGTGTCTCGTCCACCTCCCCCTTACAACGCCCGTGGCATTCTGGTAGACATCGCCGATTTCTCCACTGCTGGGGTCCTTCCACGAGCTGCCTAGCTTCGCTTCCTCGGTGAATTCCAAGCTTCTCTTCTTAAAAGCATCCAGTCTCTCCCATGCATAATCGTCCTCTTCCCGGAAACCTGTGAGGTTCAGATATTTTGCTGCTTCATTTTTGGAACCAGGCGCAGTCTTCGGTGCGAAATCCCCCCACTTTGTAGTATTTAAGATATCGAGGTCGTGTCGGAAACGATCGATTCTGTGGGTGGCATAATCGCGAGGCGATTGGAAGCCCGGAGGCGGGCCTTGGTCTGGAGATGTGTAGAGGAAGAAGAGTAGGATAATGATCAGTATCACACGAGCATATTCCTGCGGAGGAGGCTGCTGTGTTGGCATCGTGATGGCACAGAAACCAATAGAGGCTTCATCGTATTGTGTTGTGAAATATAATCGTTCGACAGTCTTGATTGCGATGTGGTCAAGGATGGCTGATATAAATCATCAGTGTCAATATACCTGGGTGATTGTACGGGGGATTATTTAGCTTGCGCCCCACTTTCACATGAGCTTCCCCAGCCGTGCAGCTCGAAACTACAGCCTTACTTACCCACTTCACCTCCAAATCATTGCCGAACAATCGAACAATCGAACAATCGAAGCCTTACCTATTACCCGTACCAGCGTCGAAAGTTACTTTCAGACACCAACAATGGCTTCAAACCCATCTTCCAGTTCTCCCGATAATAATGCAAGTAGTCGCAACTCGGTAAGTACTCGGCCCAGCTGCCAATTCTCGACTCTTAATACCTGCGGCTATCAGCTTACTTGGGTAGACCACAGATGCGGCTCCTGCCGAACTTTCAGCAGTGGTTGACGAGCTTTTGAATTCTCTGTCGAACAAGTTCGCTGGCGTTTCCAGTGAGATATTCGCAAAGAGTATGCCGCTTTTCTACTGGCGCTTGAATACTTAAAACGGAGACTAATAAGCCCTGCAGTGGACGAAATGTCGAGACGCTTGGATAACCTCGAGGCTGCTTTGCAAAGCTCCGAGGGACGGGAGGGAAACGACAGCCCAAAATGATATTCGGAAAGCCTTGGATAGGCTAATGTGCGTTGGTTGTCATACGGGCATAGAGAACGGAGTTTGGGTATCTGAAGGTGCCATATTGGAGGTCACCAGGAACTTGTGATAGATATTCTTTGCTTTCAATTCAAGTTTTCCAATAATTATTCTCGGAGATACGCTCGCCAATACCAGGTCCCTGTCAACAGTTTCCTGGTAACGATACACACTGGCCAGTCCTAAGCTGATTATCTACAACTCAGACTTGCCCGGAAGCTTCTCAGCAATAAATCTGCGAAGGATGTTGGTCTTGCTGGTAAACTCATCAAGCTTCGCTGGTGCAAGACCCCCCTTCTTGATGATACCATCCAATCGAGCCAATTCCTTGGAAGCATATGTGTCGCTCTTTGCCAACTTGTCGAAGACCTTAACATAGTACTCTGCGTACTTGTATTGGGCTTGAGATTTCAGGTCAGCGGCAGCCTTCGTAGCCTCACTAGCGACCTCGGCAATGCTAGAGCCACCAGTGAACTTGGCTACAATCGTATCCAAGGCCTCAATGGTACCCGCAGTAGCATCAAGTCCACCGCCCGACACTCTGTGTGTTCCGGCCTTCTTGTTCATAAACGCAACGAAGTCTGCCTCGGAACGGCCACCCTCGTATGGCTCTGGAGTCGTAGATCCCTTAGGGAAGAACTTGATGGTTGGGTATGAAGAGACACCTTGATCCTTCGCAGTAGCCTTCGAGCTTGCGGCTTCGGCGTCGACCTTGGCGATAACAACACCCTCCTCAGCGCTGAAGTCAGAGGCTACCTTTTCCCAGATTGGGGCAAGATTTTTACAGTCTGCCTTGGTCAGCCGAGTCCTGACTGACATGATAAAGATGACTTACGTCCGCACCATGGCGCAGTGAATGCAACCAAGACATCTTTCTCGGATCCAACCAGCTCCTTGAAGGTGTCGTCGGTCAGCAACTCCACAGAGCTGGGAACTCCCTTCGCCTTCCGAGGCTTGACATTCGTCTTCTTCACAATAAAGTCGGTCAAGCTCTCCAAATCCCGGGCACCTTCGTATTCCTCCGGCGTCTCATCCTTTCCGTTGAAGAACTTGATTGTTGGAAACCCCTGAACACCGAATCGCTTTCCCAATGACTTCTCTGCATCGGCATCGACCTTCGCAATGATGACCTTGTCTTTTACAGAGAGGAAATCGGAGGCGAGTTGCTCGTAGACTGGGGCAAGTTTCTTGCAGTGACCACACCAGGGAGCGAAGAACTCGACCAGTGCAGGCTTTCCACTGAAGACAATCTCATCGAAATTGCTAGGGACCAGGTCAATAACGGCAGAGGAGTCTGCGGCAGCGGATAATGTGACCAGGCCAGCGAGGATGAGGCTCTTGATAAGAACCATTTTGGATAGTTGTTGATGGTGTTTCTATGATATCAATCTTGTGTACCGTGTTGTAGATCGACTACGGAGAAGCTGGAGGTGACACGAAGCTTTTGTGACGAGAGCCTGGGAAATATGGACACCTGGTGGCATAACTAGGGATCCTTGTGGATGGTGGCGGGAGCTGGGTGGCGCTAGTGTGGGCTGGTGCATGCTAGTGTGTGTGCCACCAAAAGACAAAGGTAGCTAGCCCCTGTCAGCAGATATCACGTGTGTAGCTTGCCTTTGAAGGTTGTTTTGACGCCGGCTGGTCTGCGAGGATCATATTGATATTAATGTTATCGCAAAGTCCAATGTTTCCTCACAGTCGGTTGAGAGTTTGACATCTTAACGACCTACAGCCCTCTGATCTAATCACTTATCATCGTCCAAAGACATTTCTAAAGCATAGCTTGATTCGCAACTTGAGAAGACTTGAGAAGACCTGATAACGCCGAGCAGAATGACCATTTAACTTAACATAAAGAGAAAGAGTATAGGCAAGCCATACTAAACTAACCAACAAGCTCCCAAGAGATGGGTGTGAACCACGCAAGAAAACACCAAAAGGAGAGTTTCAACCATCCCATGAAACACTTACCTTGCTGCTCCAAGTATAGTAGGTAAGCCCTAGGTTCGGAACAGACTCAAACACGAACAATAGTCTGATGGGAATACAATTTTCTGGTAAATTGTTCCTGCCGCCTTGAATTTATAGAACTACTGACTGACTACTTGTCCAGGAGCTCACTAGCTTTTGAGCGCGGAAACATACAGAATATACGAAGGTTCCTATGACCACAAGTTCGCGCTGACTCGAACCTATCAAGATGATCTTTCAGTTTCATCTCTAATGAAGTCTTTCCAGAGCTCTGATAGCAGCCATGTAACTCGTCCCGGCTCCTGGCATTGGACTCGGTTGGCTTCCGCGCCCGCGAAAACATATGGGATTACTCTTTTCGCACAACTCCGAAGTTGGAATCATAAGTGTCACAGCCATGTAACTGCTAGCACTGAACATAACCAGTACGAGGACCAACGCGAGTAGAACAGCCAAGATGTAGGAGCAGGTGGGAGATTGACTCTAGGAATGGCATCAACGTCCTTGTTTGGAAGTCCGCATGGAATTTCCGAGATGGATGGACGACGCCGTGAAATGTCTCTTATATGCAGTTGGTTGGAGAGCTCTATCCGAAGACTGGGCATACTCCTCACTTCAGGTGCAGTCGTGTCCAACGATCCTTGGTGCCCGTTGTCGTTAACAAGACAATAAGGCTGGTACGGCTTCAACTCACGATAAGTTGATCCCGACAGGTTCAATAAAATCAGCTATCTGTCACCAACATGGATGACTCGATCATGAGAGAGAGGAAAAAAGAAACAAACGCATATCAAATGGATTCTCAATTCAGTCGGAATCCCAATGGTTTGAAGTAGAATTCGCCAGCAATCCAGCCCTTCGGCCATATCCCCCATCTCCCATCATCCCATCCTCACTCTCAATCCCAATCCCAATCCACCTAAAATCCCCAACCCCATTTCATTTCGTTCCCTTTCGTTTCCCACACCAACTCCCCCCCTTTAAATCCACGCACACCCCCAAGCAAACCGTCCCGTCTCAACCCCCCACCTCCACCCCAAATTATACACCCTCCTCACCACCTCACCACCCCCCTCCCCCCCCCTCCTCCTCACTGCCTTCGCCACCAACCGAGCTCCTCCCCCTCCTCCCTCTCCTACTCCTCCCTCTCCTACTCCTCCTCTGGCGTCTACGGCGCGTGCTAAAGGGACACACCCCAACCCCAACACAGGACCCTCCTCAGCGACGAGCACATCCGTGTAATCGACGCCATGACGGTATCCAGCAGCCGGACACCGGGAGCAGCTGCTCACCTCTGGGATGCGGCAGGTGCAGAGAAAGACAGAGGTCGTTAGCCGGCACATCTTGCTGTACTGTTTCTGTGTTGTCTTGTTTTTGTGTCGCGCGCGGCCGCCGCGGGAAGGTGGTGCATGGTGTGTGGTTATTGTTGGGTCTCGCCGCGGTGAACTTGATCTACTCTTCTCCCTCCTTCCTTCCGTCTGATCTATCTGTAGGCTATTCCGGCTCTTCTTCTAGAAAGGGTGAGGCGGATGATATGACGCCGGAGATGCGCTCGCACATGTAAAGTTTTTTGTTTTTTTCTTTCTTTTTCTTTTTCTTTTTCTTTTTTTTCCTTTTCCTTTTCCTTTTTCTTCTGTACGATGTAGAGTAGAACAAAGTAGAGCGTGTAATCTCGAAATCTAGCCATCCAAGCACTCCGAAGTTTCGTGATCTTCTCAAAAGTCGTCGGCGACGACTAGAACGTGGCTGTGGGGGTCAAAACCATCAAGTTGCACCGATTTAAAAAAGATGAAGGACACAAATCCTATGAGATAGAAGAGTGGACATAAGCCACGTACGAGATCAAGAGTAAGATACGATCTAGAATGAACGAACAACACCGGATTTAGGATCATCTTCCAAGAAGAGCTGAACTGGATCCGTTGACGGTATTGTATCTCTTTTGCCCATTAACCCGTAAGTACACCACCGGGCACGCCCATGGTATTCCGTCGGTTCTGCATACCAGGCGCTTTCTTCTGCTTACCTCCAATGATAGCTGCCAATGCCTGTCCCAGAGCCGCGCCATCATACACCATACCTCCTCCCCCGTCTCCTTCTCCCTTCTCCTGCTTTCTCCCATAGATCCGCACGACTTCGATCCCAGCTCGCATGAGCACTTCTCTCTCGACGTGGGGCGTGCCATCGCCTTGGAGATGGATGACGTGGGTGACATACTCTCTCCAGCCCTCCACTCCCACTTCCACCCCCGCCTTTCCTCTCGCATCACCTCTAGAACTCGCACACGCCTCCGCAATGGCAGCGACGAAATCTCTTGCCGTGAAATCCACACCCCCAGCCCTTGTCTCGCGATCTAAACTCCCGTTCAAGATCAAAATCTTATACTTGGCATTCCCGTCGTTGTTCTTCGCGGTAGAGGCAATAGAGGAGCCTACGTCACGGAGGATTAAGCACGGTATGATGGATGTGTAGAGCGACCCGATAGAGTAAATTATCGCCGAAGATTCGGAGATGGAAGAAATCACTTTTGGGTTGGGCGCTGGTCGGATCTCTTGGCCGTACGGGTTTATATACCAGATGCGCTCGATACGAGAAGGGAGGTCGGCGGTGTGGGTTTTGGCGAAGGATATGTATTGTTTGCGGAGCGTGGGTAGAGAGCCAGGTAGGTTGGCGTCTTCGATAAGTTCGTGCTCGCTGAGCTCTGTCGAAAGAGTGCGGTGGTGGAGCATTGTTGGACTTGTCAGTGACATCTCTTCCCCTCCATCTATAGTCTCTTCTTCCGTGTTGGTCTCCGAGGAAAAGTTGGTGGGGTTTGGTGGTGGAGCAGAAGGAGCAGACGGGTGCGAAATAGCGTTCTGACCCGTAATGTGGGTGCCATCCTGCAGACCGGCAGAGATATGATGCGAGAAATTGCTGTTGATGGCCGGGATCACGTTGATGTTGCTAGGCACGCCAGTGATCGCGCCGAGTAGGTAAATGGCAGACTCAAAAGAGCCAGTAAAAAGCCGGGCGCCGGTCAGAAACAGGTTTCCTACAGAGGCGGACTTTTAAGCCCGTTAGCATTGATTCTTTTAATCTGATGGGAGCCGAGAGGATATCTAAAATCCTTGGTTTGAGAGCTTAATCTGGTTTTTCGATTACAAAAGCACAAGTGCAAATGAGCTGACCTGGAAGTTGAAGGAGGAGGTTGGGCGAAGACGCTTGACTATTTCGAGGTTGATCGTGTTGAGAAGAGAGCGAATCAGTCTGAAGTTTGGGAAAATCAGTATTGTTTACATGGATTAAAACTCGAAGGCAGTCCCTAGAGTAATGTGTATTGGGCACGCTGCAAAGATAACAGGACTTGAGCTATGCTCGGCTAACCTACTCTCGCTTCTCAGAAGAGATGGATGTCCAGAGGAGGTGCCGCGACTCGACTATGTTGAGCCACTCTACCCGGGCGAGAGAGGGGTCAGGCGAGAGACGGTGGTTGAAGAGCGTTTTGATGGCGGTTGTTTCTGGTGAAGAGGGATCTTCAGGGATAAGCCGGACAAGACGACCTGAGGAGGTTAGCCAATTTGGGGCCTGAAACTAGAAAAGAGGAAGCCACGCAAAAAGCTTGTTCTGAGGCACTGACATCCAGGCATGGGATCAGAACTATGACCTTGCCCAGCCATAAATTGGACTAGCAAAAATGGAAGAATGGACAAAACTCACTCCTGACATCCCCGATTCCTGGACCCCCAAATACCCGAATGAGCTCACTCGACGAGCCTCCGTTGTCAGATATAGGAATGATACTTCGATCATATCAGTACATGTTCTCTTCGCCAATGCTGGAGTACTCACTAGCTCAACGAGCAGCCCTTATCCTCAGCAACCTTGCCGAAGACATCGACGAGATTGTTCGCTGCGCTTCCACCGGAAAAGACGACGATATGCCGTTTGCCGCTCATGGTGGCGCGACGTGCGTACGTACACTCTTCAGCTTTCGAGTAGTGGGAGACAGAGTCTCACTCTCGGCATACATACAAGATGGGATGGAGCGGTCGTTTGAGGGCGTTTATATCGTCATGGGGATGGCACGGTGGCTCCCTCTTCAGTACTGGAGGGTCGCTAGATCTGGGCAGATGGTCAGCTTCTTCGGATTCGAAATCGAGCATGTCAGCGACTCACACGTCATTATACAAAGCCTATCTTGAGCTCCAAGCAGAACCGAAGATTTGAACCAGAGAGAGAGAGAGAGAGAGAGAGAGAGAGAGAGAGAGAGAGAGAGAGAGAG